TGCCTCAAGCTATTATTTAAGCAAGCCCTGCTCATGAATAAAAGCCTGAGTGTATCACAATCCCACAAGCACACTGCGAGCAAGTTACTTGCTGTGTTCTCGGCTTTCCAGGGAGCTTGCACTCAGCAGAAGGGGCTTGAAGGGGACAGGTGCCATGACAGAAAGGTACTCGGCAGTACGCTGATGAACCAGAACAGAAAGAAAATCACGTATTTGAGTCTTAGGACACTTGTTTTGTTTGACTTCCTTTTAAGAAAGTGTGTACTTAGGGCTTGTTCAAGCTTGAGGCAGCCTTTGTTTAATTGCTGTCCCAAATAAGAACATATGTTGTAAAACTTGGTTTCCTTTCAGCATAGGTTTTTGAACCCTCTTTTTCATCTGAAAAGAACAGGCATGAAAGAGGATGGAAAAGTCTTTTAGATGACTCCAGTGATGAGTTATGCGGACATTAACAATGGTTGTTGTACGGCTGACTGCACCGTTAGTCCAGCAATGCTCAGGGTTAGAGACTGGTAGACTGAAGCCAGCTGAACCAGCCAGGATTTCAGGGCTGCAGCTTTTCCTCTGCCTGTCTTCAGGTGGGGTATCAGGCTCCTGACCCCGGCTGTGCATCCCGCTGCTGGGCAGCATGCCCTCTCCTTGCTCAGGGGCATCGCAGGCATAGGAAGTTCTTGGTTTCTGTCCCGTCGGAAAGGTAGCAGTGGTCGTTTGGAACTGAAGGGCTTTGGAGTAGCAAAGAAGGAAGATAGAGGAAAAGAGCTGTGGGAGACTGGCTGGGAAGCAGTTAGCATTAAGATGTACGTTTGTGCATGTGCAAGAGCTGAATATCAGATTTTAACCTTTTTTTAATTCATCTTAAGCTTGATTTAAACAGACTACTTTTGCATGAGGCAGTACGTTTGAATTTAACATGGAACTTGGGACTTCCAGCTGTGGTTAGTGATGCTCGGTGTTGTGCCGTAGCCTGGGGGGAGCTTCCGCAATAGGAAAATGTCATGACAAAGAGGCAGACCTGGCTTACTGGCATGTGTAACGCTGCACTCGCTCCATAGCCTCTTGTAGCTGCATCTCTGCTGTGCCTCGTCTTCACTCTGCAATTCACTTTGGCTCCAGTGCACAGTGACTTCGTCTGTCTTGAATGCACTTTTCCTTCTTCCTCTGAGATTTTATGGCTGTGTTACAAGTGCCAGCATGTAAACTTTTTTGTGTTCACTTCTTTGCATCTCATTTTGTGAAATCCTTTAGACTTTTTTTTATTGTTTTGTTTTCCATGATTGGTATTTCTTTGTTCAATTCAGGTTAGAATTGCCCCTACTGTCACTACCTGGAGTAACAAAACTCCTACTGCCCTTCCCAGCCATCCTCCTGCAGGCTGTCCCTCTGACACACAGGTATAACCTTCATTATTCCTCTCTCAGCCCCTGCTCCACCCCAGTATGTCCCCTGGTGTAGTCTGTGTGCTTGACACAGTCTGGTATGGATAGATGGAAGGAGCAGCTTCCACCTGTGCTCTGGTTTTGCTCCTCCTGCATCTCATGTTACTTTTTTTTTTTTCCCACCAACACCCAGATGAGTGGCTGTGGAAAGCCTTGAGTGGGAGCTCAGTGTGACCTGAGCCCCCTGTTCCCAGCCCTTGCCCCACACTGAAATATTTGAAGTGTGATGATATTTTTCCTTTCCCTCTTTCCCATGGAACTTAGAAGCTTCAGAGTTAATGTTTAAGTTCTTTAGTTGAAAGCTGTGAATGACAGGGTGTTCTCAGACTGCCTGAATAACAGGCAGCACTGGCAAGGACCTCTTCCTTGTGCAGGAAGGTACGTGCTGCTCTGCTGCTGCTGAGGTCACTGCACATACAGGCTGTGCTTTCAGTGTTAAGGCTGGGTGCCCTAAGGCACTGGGATGGTTGGAGGCGTTTGCCCCTGTGCTAGTGGTTCTTCCAGGGAATGTGATTTCAGACCTTGAAATATGAACTGATGGTTTTGTTACAGTTCTGCTTCAGCACTGCATTCCTGATGCTGACTAAATCCTATCTGCCCCTACCCTTTTTCCTGCAATTTTTTTTTTTTTTTTTTTTTAACAGGGAGACAACCCACCTCCTCCAGGATTTATTGTGCCAGGTGCTGTTAACCCCAACATGCCACCACAGCAAGCCACATCTTCCAATTACAGCATGTTCTCACAAGCAGGGGCCCGGCCGACATACCTGCAGAGTGAGTAACAGTAGCTCCCCTTTCCCAGCCAGCCAGGTGATGAGGCCGCATTTATTTGGGGATAGCCAGTCCTTTCCTTCGCGTTGGAAGGGTTCAGACCAAACCAGTCCCACATTTCTTAGCGGAGGGGGGGGAAGCTCCTGAGATGACATCTGAGGATTTTCATTTCTTGGTGAGGTCCAGACATCAGGCACCCTCTGTCAGACACTGTCTCCTCTGCTGAGAAGGTGTCTGCCCAGAGCTTTTGGACTCGCTCCTCAGCTGGCCCTTCCCAAGGGTGTGCTGGGGTCAAACGCCCCCAGTGTGAGTCCTGGAGAAGAGCACAGGCCTGGCAAAGAGGGACCCAATTCATCTGTGTGCGGTTGGGCCATCGAGTTCTCCTTGGGAGTCTGTGAGGATGGGAAAGGGGATGAGGAGACAAGGGCAGTGGTAGAGGTGAGTGAGCAACCGGGCAGAGCACTGACACGTTCAAAGCAGGGGACTGAAAGTACAGGCACCAGGGAGGAAAAAATGGGCATGGTGGCTCTGGGCAGGAGAGTCTTGGGGGGCAGAATGGGAGTCCTTAGAGCCAAGGCAGTCCTTTCTCTGTCTCCCCACTCCCAGCGGCAGGCTGAGGTTTTGAGCAGTCCTGCAAATGCAGGTAGGGTGTGGGAGCCTTCAGGTAAGTGATTTGAGGGGGAAGGGGAGTCAGATGGCGAAGGAAGCAGAGGCAGATGAAACCTGCCCTTCTGTTATGAACTCACTGACTCAATGTCTTTTCTTCCTGTTTGTAGCATATCAGGCCACACAGCAGTACTCCTGTGGAACAGGGGGACCAGCTCTCTATCAGCCTCAGCAGCCTGTCGCTGTCCCTGCTTCAGCCTCTTACCCAAACCCTGTCCCTAACACCACCCCTCCCTATCTGCCCTCTGCGCCTGCCCACTCCGTGCCCTCCCCGCTGTACCCCGGGCAGCCTCAACCCTCCCCAACAAGCCTGAATCCCATCTCTTCCTTCCCTCTTCCTCCTTCTGGCGCATCTTTTCAGCATGGCAGGCCAGGACCTCCAGCAACTTCTGTGGCTTATGCATTACCCACTGGACCAACAGGTACTCTGCCTGCAACCAGTGACCTTCCTGCATCCCAGAGAACAGGTCTGCGCTTGGACCGGGGGGAGGCAGGCAGGGAGGGAGAGGGTTTTACTTTATTACTCAAACAATTAAATGTGCACCTTTTCCTTGTGAATGCTCTGTACAAAGTTTGCTTTTGCTTAGAGGTCAATTCAAAGCATTTCTAAAACACATCCTCTTCCCTGTGCACCTGGCAATGATAGGGCTATGTTTCTGCAGTGTGAGCAGTCGTCTTTCTCTTGCGAGTCACACCTTGCCACAAACACAGAGCTCTTGTTTTGTCCAAGACAGGCTGCTACAGCACTGTCTTGTTATGAAGCTGTTGTATACTCTGGATGGATGGTGGCACAGTTTTAGCCTTGTGAGGCTGGCATCAAAACCTAAGAGCAAAATACAAAAATGGGCAAGTTTTCCTAGTCACTGCAGAGAAGACGATCCCAGTTCTCCTCGCAGAACAGTTTTGCAAATGTAATTTGTCCCTGTGTCCCTGGTTTGTGAGCAGCATTTCAAGCCTGGGATTGGCAGCATATTTAATTCAAACAGCATTTGCTGTGGCATCAGCTAACTTCAATTATTTTTTTCCTAACCGCTTAGTGCGATGGCATTTATTGTAGCTGTGAATGCCTTAAAAGATAATCAGAAGTGATTTAGAAATGCTTTTACATGTCTCTTTCCTGAATGTTCATTAAAAGCATGTGTGTGTGGCTGACACATAAGAGCATGTTTGAGCATGCATGGTGAGAGAGCACGCACTGAGGTGGGGCTCGATGTCTCCTTGTGACTGCTTGGACATAACTGTTTGCTGTGGGACAGTGAGCTCACTTGTGGTAACAGACCTGTCTCTTTACTTAGCAGCCTGTGAAACAACAGCTTTGCATATGTCAGGCTGTGCAGGAAGTATGAGCGATCCTTTTCTAAACCTGGCCCTAAACTTACTTTACATCCAGGTGGTCCAGCTGAAGAACCAAGGACCAGATCTGGGAAGCAGGGAGCTGAAGGAATATTAGGCAGGACCTGAGGGATGTTCCAGGGGTGCTGACTCTGCTGACAGGCCCTAAGGACCCCACTGTGACTCCCTCTCTTATTTTAAAAGTCTGTTAGGGGTGATGCAATGCAGAAAAGGCATATTGCCTTCATCTTGGCAGCAGCAGTCCTATGAGCAGGTGCTCCTGGCATCCATGAGGCTGGGAGCCCACACCTCTCATGGCATTACCTTCACACACACACTCATATTTTGGGGAGAAATGGTCTTTTGCTCTGTCAAAAAACAGAGAGGACTTGTGTAGGGGAGCTGCCGGGGGGCTGCCAGGAGAGAAGAGGCCTTTTCCCTCCATCCTGCAGCCAGATTCAGCATCTTCTCTGTTCTTGGAGATGCCGTACTGTGACCTCTCCTGACCCCGTGTTATGGGGCATGTCAAACTTGTATCTCTAAGCCAGAGGAATTACTAAATTAGACAGAGGAGGAAGTGTTGAATAGGGTTCTAGGCCTGGGATGTGAAGCAGCACGTTATAATGCAGACAGCACTGCTTCCATGCTTCAAAATAAATGCAAGGAAGAGGAAAATTGTTCATTCTTACCCATTTTGCTGCTGTACTTGCGTCACTGACAGGCACTTCAGATCTGTCACTTGCTAAGTTTCTTGCGTTAACAGTAAAGTAACATAGTCTATGTGGTGCGCTCAGAGCGGGTAAAGCTTCGTACTCTGGACAGTTAGGGACGTTTATGACAATACAGGTCGATTTGTAAAATTACATAATCCACATAGTAGTATAACACATCTTGCCTATCTCATTTTAATATAAGAGGAATTGAAGCAGTCATTATCTGCATTTTGCCTTGCCAGATTTCCTTTCAAATTAAAAGCTGTCCATGCTAGGCTTTTTATAAAACTTTCTGAGAACTATCAGTGCTGCTTGTGTTTTTCCCAGCAGCTGTGGTGAGAAGGCAGCCAATACAAAGTGTCAAACCCTCAGGAACCCAAATTTGGGCATCACCTCTGATTCCTGGCAAACACCAACTTTGGGCTGAAACGCAGAGGTGGGCTTCAGGGCACAGTGAGGTGCCAAGGCCAGGTGGCTCACACCTGTGGGCTGCTGGCACGCAACTGCTGCTTGCAGCTTGAGAACTATGGAAAAAAAGATAAGAGGTATCTGAAAAGCACACTCTGTCTTCTTCCAATTTTTAGATGATGCCGTTCAAAAACCATACAAACAAGAAGGAAAAAAACCCCTTGCTTTGTAAATGCAAAAAGGACAGTGTACATGCTTAATATGCTTAACCACCAACATATTTTTCCAGAGTAGCTGCATTGCTTAGTGAAGGACGCCTTGGCATAAGATCCCATAGAACCACAGAAGTCTGCAGGCAGAAGTAGATCTCACCTGTAACTCTGAATCTTACTGTGCAGAGTGGATAGCGATGCCAATCTTGGCTTTGAAGTGGTGTGCTTTTCTGTGTGGTGATGATCTAATCTGGGAACATCACGTTTCACTTTGCAAATGTGATTCATTTAAAGGCGGGGGTAAGGGAGGAAGGAAAAAACATCTCGGATTTTAAGTCTTGAAAAGCACCTGACCTTTGAACTGGCTTGGATTTAAAGATGCACTTAAAGAAACAATTCTATAAATATCTTCTGGCTTTTGCGAATGCATATACCATCAGTATATTAAGCTGTGCTTGGAGCTCCACTAAGCGAGAAAAGCCCACATTTAATTTCATTTTCAACCTATCTCACTTTGTTTTGTGATAGATCTTTAAACCTGCTTTCAAGGGAGTTTTAATTTTCAGAGCCTTGAATCTTGTTTGAAATTGTGATGGAGCAATTCTGAGCTAAGGGAAGGGTTTGCACTGGAACTGTAAGTGCATCAGACCAACCCCAGGGACAGGAGTTTTCTCATCCCCGATGTTCCTCTTCTCTTTGAAATGGTGAAGGCTTTGTTGACTGTGTTTTACCATTTGGATTTGTTGCTCAGTCTGAGCAGGCAATGTGTCTTTTCACATGGGTGTAAAGCTGCTGTGTGAACATTTTTTATTTTCTTTTTCTGGGCTGGATGCAGTTGAGAGTGCACCTTGATTTGAGAAAATACTTGATGTCCACCTTGAAGTCAAGTACTTTTAAACATCTCCTGAAAAGCTTTCTGGAATGGTAAAATGATGGCGACAAGATTGTTGCTAAGTCTGTCAGCTGCACTGGCTGGTAGGAATAGAAAATGAGAACGCCAAAAGAGATAAGAAAGTGGGCCAGGACTCTGCAACATTTGTTAGAAATAATTAGAAACACTGATTTAGTGCATGGAAAGAGCAAACAGGCTTGTTTTCAGGGAAGGCAGACAAAAGCAATTCCACAGGGTGGTTTAGACAAACGACTTGCCTCTAAATTGTCATTGTAATTGTGTTAGGCGTTTTTTTCTCCTGACTTCTCGTGCTTATTGAAACTAAATTGCTAATAAAAACTTTCAGACCAATTGCTTTATTTTTTGAAGAAAAATTTTTTTTAGTTCTCTTTGCCTTTTGTCTGCAGAAAGCCTACCAACTCAAGACCAGGCCTCTGCCTTCACAGGTGAACTAGGTACCACCTAACCTCAAAAATAATTACAGCCGCTACATGAAATTAATTGAACAGACATCAATAACGCATATGTTCTTCAGAGAACATTAAGTGCAATGCTGTTTGCCAATTAGACTTTAATAAAATCAATTTTTAATTCCTTAATTAAAACCAATAACAACATATCTGGAGTTTTTAACCACAGAAACAAATGCTGATTTTCCTTTTTTAAAGCAACTTATTCCAGGAAATTAACAGCAATAACAGTCTGGGAGATTTTCTTAATGTGTTACCACTAGCAGCACTGCAGAAGTCCTGTATCAGAAATATTCTGGATTTTCTGGATAGGGAGCAACAGAGGAGCCCCTGAAGGACATGGCTGTCAGGAGATGGCACTGCCTTTGGTTAAAGAGAAAGCAGATGTGAAAGGGGTTTTAAATTGTTTGTCATTTACCACTTTAACATGCTCTGGAGGTAGAACTTGTTTAACAAAAGCTCAGGAGCAAATGAAATTTCAGATAAATTGAGCAAATTCTGCAGTGATGTTAAGCTCTGTCTAAGGTGAATTCATCATCTGCTAAGTGAAAAACACTGTGGTGAAAAAGTCCATTGAGCAGGGATTTGGTTTTGTTGGCTTTTTATGGCTTTGCACAATAAATCCTGATTACTCGGCGAGGCGGCGGTAATGCTGAGATACACTGCTATGGTCCTGATTACATGCTCTCCGTGATGAAGTGGGGAACTGTTTCTAATGCACTAATGTGAGCTTTTGGTGTACAAATCTTGCAGCTGCACGGAGCGTGCTTTCTTGGAAGAGCAGAAGGTTTGGTACAGAACAACACCCCGGACTGGGAATGAATCTGCTCAGACATCCTCTGTGCTTCTTCCAGTTTCAAACAAATTGCCCTTGGTGCAAAAAGCTAATATTTTGCCACCTTGCTCCAGCAGCTCTGCACTATTTTGGGGACACAAAACACCCATAAATGTGCTGTATCTGCCAGGGGAAAGCTGGTTTTATGGCTCTCTTGTCTCCAGGGTGGTTGGGTGAATCTGGCCTGAAATGATTAAGGCTCCTGTTGCCTCTTACGCCTCTTCTTTCTTTGTGTTGTGTTGCTGGGGAACATGTAAATCCATCACAGTACACAACCGCAGCAGCAGCTCTTGGGAAATGGATGCAGCTTAATGGTGTTCTTATTCACCCATGGTTTCTGACATCTCTGCTGCTGATTAATGTTTAGAATGATGTTATGGTGATCATGGGGGAAAAAAACAAGTTCAAAACCAGTTCTCATTTCTTCTCATATGATACAGATGAGAGAAACTTTCACCGGTAACTGAAGCTGTCTTCACCTATGCAGTCTGTGTAGCAGAGCTGTGTTTTGGGCATGATTGGCAGCTGCCTGCCTTTTCAAAGGGCTCAAAGTTGTTTTTTTCTTCTGCAAGAGAAGAAAAAGTTAATTCTAACATTAAAAAAAAAAAAAAAAATCAACTTCTGTCAAACTTGAGAACAGTTAGTCAAGATGCCAAACCTGCGCAGCGGGCACAGAGCCCCAGGCTGGGGTGTTCGGGAGGCTCTGGCTGGCGCCAGAGCTGTTCTGGCCCCCGATGAAGGGCAGAGGAGCAGGCAGGTGAGAGCAGGCTCTGCCAAGCCCCTGCCAGTAGAGCCGTGGTGGGGAGCTGGCCCAGCTGAGCTCAAGAAAACATCACTGCCCTCCTCCGAGGTACTTATGGTCTCTTGTTTTCTTTCTGTCTCAGGGCCTCAGAACGGCTGGAACGACCCTCCCGCCCTGAACAGAGCTGCCAAGAAGAAGAAGGTACTCTAGGAAGTCCTATCTTGGCACAATTGAGTGCCGACCACTTGAAAAGCAGTAACTTAAGCTGCTCCTGGGACACTTGTTGGCAGGAGAAGGAAAAAGAAGGGTTAGCAGCAAACAAAAGCTGTACCTTGTGAGCAGAAATGGCCTTTATGTCTCTCCAGTATGCGTTATCTCTCTCAAAATATTTAAACCTCTAAAGAGATGGTGGCTTTTTGCTAAAGTTGTGGTTGTTAACAACAACATTGATCCTGGTTTGAGGGAGGAAAATACCTCAGACTATTTTCACGTGCAGTAAAGCAGATGAGTTTTGCAGGAGGTGATATTTATGTGAAATGGTGAGGCCATGCAAATTGTTACAGATTACTGACTTTGCTCGAGCTGAAAGCAATTTATCCTAATTAAGGGTCTGACCCTGAGAGATCTGCTGAGAGTAAGACAATTTTCATGATGGAGACAATGTAGTTTTGTAAAATGGATTTAGATTGCAGCAGGACAGAATAACTGGGGACATTTGGCACAGAGCAGAATGAGGCTTTTCATCCCCTGGAGCTGCTGTAGTCTTGCGTATCTCCACAGCAGTCAGTGTCATCTGCCGCTCTCTGAGCCTGGTGCGTTTGGGAAGCAAGAGTCAGTCTGGAGTGTGTAAAGTGTGGGGAGAAAAAAATAAAACAGAATTTGGAGCAGGCAAGGTAAGGTCTGGGTGAAGGTGACAGCAGAAGTCTGCCGTACCTGCAGGTTTTAGTCTTTGCAGTTCAAGTTTAAGAAGCTTTTGGAGGATGGATAGGGGATGCCTTGCATACTCCTGACTGCCCCAGTGCTGGGATGTTTGTCACACAGCAGCCGGCATGCAGCCTTTTGGGCTTCAGGCTCTTAAGTAGAAGGAGGAAATTTGTCAGTGAGAATAACTGCTGGACCTGAGAGCTCGAGAAGCAGCTTTCTGCAACTGTTACTGCTGTCTGTGTCACAGCCGGAATTCCTGCCATAGCCAGGGCTTGAGGGTTGGCTCCCATCTAAATGAGGAGGAGTTGTTTGTTGCATTCCCTATTGGGAATTTAACAAACCTCTGTCAGAAATGTTTCTATGTTTGTTTCCCTTATGCCCACTGTATGAGGGGGTGGTTTAGGATATTATAAAATGACTCACCACTTGGACTATTCTAAAATAGAAGAATCGTCTGGCATTTCAAGCCGCAGCATAATTTGAAACTGTTTTCCACCTAACTAAGAACTTATCCACCACTCAGAAGTTTATTGGTGTGATTCATTGCTTTTATAACTGACTTTGTTGGTGCTGGATTGGGAATTATTTTTCTTGCTGTCCCAACCACTAGCTTAATTCTGGCATCATTTATTCAGGGTAGCATTCAGGGTTCTGTAATCTTTCCTTTTTTCCCTGTACATGCAAAAAAATATGTGCATTCCCATGGGAGCTGTTCTTTTTTTTGTTTGGATTCCTGTATGACACGTAGCAGAGGCCAGTAGCTCATTTTGTTGTTTCTTCCCTCTACCAAATGTTTCCAAAACGCCCCTGTGTAAAGACTGGCAGATGCTTAGGGATGAATCTGAAATGCACTCATAATCTGTCTTAGTGCAAACCTGTTTGCCAGAAGCTTGAAGGGCTTTCAGAAGCTTTATTGGTGCGTGCTGCTAGCTGTGGCCTATGTACTGCATGGACAAAAACATACCCTTGAAAGTGAGACACAAAAATGTAAATATAATGACCCAATAGTAAGAACAGATGTAGGTGTGGGTTAGTTTTCCTTAACATAACTTTTGTTAGTGCTGCTCTGCCAAACCTCTGTTTTGTGCCCTTAGCAGAGGGAGAGTGGCTCTGATTTGAGGTGGCTGGTCCTGCCCTGTGCAGGCAGGAGGACAGGCAGGGTGCACAGGACTGGAAATGCTGGAGGATATTACTGCCCCAGGGCACTTCTTACTGGGCAGCTGCAGCCAGAGGAATCGGTTTGTTTAGCCGGAGTGAAATCCTGTATTGCCTGCCCCTGTTATTTCTGTATCCTGGGGGCTCAGCGCTCTGCTTGGCAGGGCTCTTGGTTGCTGCGGTTGGGAAGTCTGTAGGAGCTGGGTGTTGTGCTCTGCCTGCAGCAGCTGCAGCAGCATAAATGCACTCTTTGGGTTTTTTTTCCCCAGGTCCCTGATAACTTCCTACCCCCGGTTCCTATCACCTCCCCCATCATGAACCCGCTGGCAGATCCACAGTCTCAGATGCAGCAGCCTCTGGCTCCAGCACCACCCACGGGTGCACCCAGCTTCCAGCCTCCGCATCTCCCCGCAGGGCAGCCAGTGTTGCAGGGTGGCTACCCGCCTGCTCCCCAGCCCATGGGGCCGTGCATCATACCACCCGCTGTTTCCAAACCCAGCACGGAGGGGGCCCCTGGGGCCCCAATCGGCAATGCCATCCAGGTAACGTAGCCCCAGCGTTGCACGGTTTTGGTTTCTGCATCAGCGGAGCCTTGCAGGCCGCGATCCTGTAGGCCAGCCGTTTCTTGTACCTCCAAAGTGTACTTTGGAGTTTTCAGTCACTAGCTTTGCACCATTTTGCTACTGTAATCTCTACCTAGACACTACTTTGCAGTTAATACTCTAGTCAGTGTGGACCAACAAGCTGCTTCCTCCTGCAACTTCACAGCTCTCCAGAGGGAGCGACAGCAGATGCTGATAAAGTCACCTCCAGTCACTCACAGGGAAGAAAAAGGAGTTGTGCCAAGCTGGCTAATAATGCCCCTTTGGTTTAGTTGAAGACAACGTGTGGTCACAGTGACCTGGAAAAGCCTCACCTGCTCTCTGTTTCTCAGCACGTGCAGGCACTGCCAACAGAGAAGATTACCAAGAAGCCTATCCCTGAGGAGCACCTTATTCTGAAGACTACGTTTGAAGCTCTTATCCAGAGGTGCCTGCTGTCTGCCTCCGATCCGGTAGGTTTTTGTGGTGTTCCCAGAGTACCCTTGTGTTTGGGCGAATGCACTGGTACCTACAGCACAGCTGGCCATCACAGCCTCTCCTGAGACAGCGTTTTCCTTCTAAAGGCTGCTTCCAGCAGCCACAAGCAATGCAGAGAAAAGCCATTCGCATGTAGGATGTGGCAATCTGCGGCAGTCCACTCTGCCACTCTCTTCTAAGGAGGAGGGTTGGCATTGGTTATAGTTGAGGTTTTGATGTTGATGGTTAAAAAAAAAAAAAAAAAAGTTAAAAATTCTAAAACCTTCAGAAACCAAGGCTCGCATATTTTGAGTACATGCCTCAGATTTTGATCTGTGATTTGTGATTTCTAGTAACAAACTCATTTCAAAAGGAAACAACGGCTACCAGAGAAGTGGAAGGTTATAACCTTTAACACAACTGCTGGAGCTGGATAGGAAAAACATTTCCTGTGGCTGTAAACAAGCCATCCATCTCAAAGCTTCTCATTTATTTCCAGCGGTCAGTAAATAACACACTACCCCAAAGCCCAGATGCTGACTGTTCAGCTCGTGCCTGCTGCATGCTGAAAGGTGGATGATGAAAGACAGGCTGGGGGGTGTGCGGAGGGCTTTGTGCGCTAAATGTGCTTGGTCAGCAGCACAGACTCACGCTCCTGTTGCAGTGACAGAGAGCTGACCTCTCTGAGGGCTCTGTGGCAGTGGCTGTGGGAGTACAGTGGGCATTCGGTGTCGCTTCTGGCTTATGGCCGCTGTACAATTTCAGCTGGCTCTGTAGTTTAGACTTGACATTTGCCTGTACGTACTGCTTCTTTCCCCTGTGGGTCTCAGCCCAGCAGTTTCAGGGTGGACTCGCACACGCGGTCCTTTACAGAAGCTTTTTGAGGCCATAGACCTTTCTTTGGACAGACTTCATAAGGTTCGGTAGCATTCAATTGCTCAAAAACCTTTCTTTAAAGGTTCTTTAAAAAGTGCAGGAATAGAAGTCGTATACTGCACAGACCATTTGACCTTTTCTTCTTCCGAGTGCCCCTTCTCCCAAAAACACAAAGGAGGCAAAAGCATTCAGTTCACATCTGCACCCAGGGATTGCTTTTCTGCTCTGCCAACACATTTTGCTTACTTCTTGTTAAGTCTCTCCGATTTTCTTAAGCAGAGCAAGCATTTCTGGCACACAGCGCTGAGAGACACTGCCCTGGCTGTATACATCAGTTGTTGTCAGAACAAACGCAGACACTACTCAGTTACTACATTCCAAAGGGGAAAATGGGAACAGGAAGAGGGAGTTAGCCAGTCCAAAAGAATTATCCACTTTCTTATCTGCTCCTCCTGGGGTACTTTTTCCTTTCTTGTCTCAGTTCCTTGACAACGTAACTACTGCTGAGGGGTTTTCCACATGTGGCCAGAGATCCACACGCTGTGTTCTCCTTTATGCCCTTTGCTATCCAAACAGCTTTCCCTAATTTCTAGCACAGCAGGCAACCACCAGTCTGTCTTTACCCCTGAGCTACAGCATTCCCATAGGCTTTGTTATGTTCTCTTTGGGCAATTATTTAGTCCAAGGAAACATTTCCAGTTGCCAGGGAAATGGCAGTATCCTAAGTGAAGATGGATTTTGGTGTGCATACTGACTTAGGAGGAAGTTCTGTTACTCTTGTGTTCTGATGCCATTTCTATTTCTGTTGACCACCACCTTTTTTGTGCTTCTGTAACTGTAACCTTGATGCTTTGTTACTGTTTTATTATTCTGGATTACAATCGTCAAGTTCTGTAGCTGTTCATTTAAAAAAAAAAAAAAGTGGATAAAAATACATTTCTTGACTGCTGTGGCACTCCAGGTGGAATATACTGGGGTTATTTTAAGGGCCTTTGGTAGCAAAATAATTCTGGACACATCAGTGGGTGGTTTACTCTATATAAAATCAGGGAAGCGCAAAGGATCTAGAAAGACAGTTTGGGTTAGGCTATTAGTTTTTCTGTTGACAGTAAAAACTAACAAAAAACCTCCTGGTTTTACTAATCACATAATGAAAAATACAATTAAGATTTGCCGTAAATGATGACAGAGCTGTACATACTTAAGACTTCAGTAACTGCGTGTGCCCTTAAGCTCTCATTGACGTTGCTGGATACTCTATTCCACTAATCACTTTATCCAGCTATCATTATGCTTTACCAGTGAACCATAATAAAAAAAAAAAAAAATTCATGCTGCCACTTTCCATATCGGCTATACCCATGGATTTTGCAAATGACCAGTGGCTTTTAGGATGCACCTCTACAGTTTACTCTTCTGTGTAGCTAACTGGAGTGGTTACACGTGGAGAACTACAGTCATATCATGTGGTCTTTCCTAGCAAAATCAGGGGAGAAAAGTACAGAGCAAAGAATTCAAATGATGTGTTCGAAAAATGTTATTGAGAGAGGAATTTCATGTGCTGCATGGACCTCTTTGCAATGATACCAGATCAGTATGGTGTTCTTAAAATCATTGTGTTTTAATGTATTTATTTCTCTTGCAGCAAACCAAGAGGAAACTAGATGATGCAAATAAACGCCTGGAGTTTCTATACGACAAACTTCGGGAACAGACAGTAAGTTCTGGTTTATGTTTTCCCCCTCCCTCAAATATTGCAGGTATGGCCAAGAACTTCATCGGTAGTGAGGACCCCTCTGTAATATGTTGCAGGTGCTTGTTCCTCCTTCAGAAGTGTACTTCAAATCCATTTATTGTATGTTTCCATGCATTCCCCAGAAACGGCTAGGTTAGAGTGCTTGGCCCCAAGTGCCTGTGCAGACTTTTACAGCATCTTGGGGTCACATTACGAGATTTATGGTGCTGTGCAGGGACTGTGTGGAGTAGAAGAGCG